GAGGGGAACTGCAAGCCAAACAAGAAACATGTGCCTCGGCCAAGTTTTTTTATCTGCAGTTTACGCTCGATTGATACATGATGGTCATGAATATGCATATCAATGTTACATGTCATATTCTTATCATTCTATCGCCATTGGCGGGAATCGCACCATGAGACACTCATCCAATTGATGCGATGTACTAACACCTCCTCCTAGGGCAAACGAATCTTCATCAAGGACATGGCCTACTACCTCATGGCCCCAGACAACAAGCCTACCAAGGTTGCACCGTCTCTGGGCGAGGAAGAGCCCGGCAACCCAACGGTTCTGCCACTAGAGGTCCTGAAGCAATTCCAATTCACCTTCCTCATCCGCCACCCTCGCCGAGCTATCCCCTCATACTACCGTTGCACGGTGCCGCCTCTGGATGAAGTCACTGGCTTTTATGACTTCATGCCCAATGAGGCCGGTTATAAGGAGCTCGTGCGTTTCTTTGATTTCCTGATCAAGGAGAACATCGTCGATAAGGACAACCTCGTTGTTATCGACGCTGATGATCTTCTCGATAACCCCGAGAAGACCATTCGTCTCTACTGCGAGAAGACGGGCATTGACTTCAAGCCCGAGATGCTCGAGTGGAACGACGAAGATTGCAACTATGCGACCATTGCCTTCCAGAAATGGAATGGCTGGCACAACGATGCTATCAAGAGCTCGGCTCTGAGGCCTCGTACTCATCACCAGGTACGTCAAACCGATTTCTTATAATCGCACCCTCCCCACGATCCCTCCACCTGTTGGTCTGCAACAACATCCACTGTTCGTTCGCGCTTCTTGTGGTAGGGTGAAAAAAAGGCTGACATTGCTAACTAAAGAAGACGATGACCACCGAGTCTGAAGATAAGGAATGGACCGCCAAGTATGGTCCTGAGGCGCAAAAGGTTATCCGCAAGACGGTCGAGGACAACGTAGCCGATTACGAGTACCTGAAGCAGTTTGCGCTACCTATTTAACTTAATTGGCTATGTGCTCGCTCTGCTTTTTCAGGGGTTGCTTTTTCTCTCTCTACGGTTTGGACCTGTTCTGGCGTTTCCGCCCTCTGTCAGATTGGACTTTTGCACCTGGCGACGAGCCGGGGTAATGAATGATTTATGAGTGTTTGGATTTAGTTGATGGTACAGCTATTATGGTACAGCGACTTTGGCACCACGCCACCTGATGAATATATACATGCTCCTTCATCTACAAACCTTTGCCAACTGTCTGAGGAATGTCCTTTTTAAATCTCTAGACACTTGATGACACACCTTTCCATATGGCCCAACCTGATGGAGTCCAAAATATACATTTTATACAATGGAGGTAGAACACGTATAATAATGACTGAAGTGGGGGAGCCTGGTGTTCGTCTCCAACCAAACCACCTTTTATGCCGTCTCCTGGGGCTTTTTGTTCACTTCAGTCCTCTCCTTGAGTTCCTCATTCAGCCACTGGCTCCGGTGCCTTCTCCTGACCCTCCTTCTCGGGCTCGTTCGAAATGTAGCTCGGCTTTTCGAACAGACAATGTGTAACGTTTTCAGACCACTTCTGGGCGTACTCCCTGTCCTGGTCGTTTGCCCAGCTCACCTTGACATCCAAGAGCTTCTTCTCAGCGCCTTCGGCATCTTCTGATAGAACGATTTTGTTACCGCGGCCAGCACCGCTCAGAACAGACGCTATATCGGCAATGGAGTTCGGCTTCTGGGCGTTGAGAGCAATGCCGCGCTCCTCTTTGGTTCGGATGGGGCGATGATTCAGGTTACCCTTCTCCTTCTGCTGGGCCACTCGCTTGCGGTCGGCTTCACTGAACTCTTCGGGGTTCTTATATCGGAAGTCGTCGTCCCATGCTACCTCGTGCAGGTGCTTCAACTCGCGCAATTTTTGGAAGACAGATCGACCGATGGAGCCTTTCCCGGCGGGGAAGGAGATATGTGCGAAGGGAGACCAGTAGTCTTTTCGAAGTTTGGCGGGTTTTGTCTTTTTACCATTGAATGGGAGTTGCTTAAGATCGTGGAAACCCTACGACATCAAGTTAGCACGTCTATGCAGCTTACAGGGAACCTTATATAATTGGACTCACGTTTAGCGTCTTATCAAAGCTGTAAATAATTTGGTTCGTTCTTCTGTGGCCGAATACCCAAATATCCTCCCCATGTCCCTCAGGTGGAGGGAATCCTCTGCCATCCTTCTTCTTGCCGAAATGGCCGTGTCGCACCCATATCCGTACGTAGCTGGGCAATTGACCCAGTCGAGATGTCGGTGCCGTGTTCATGGTCGCCCACTGTGAAGTTGAGATGGCCTTGATACTGGAGACTGATGGGAAAAAATGCCAGTATCGCCGGTTCAATCACGGACGAGCGTATGGTCACGTGATATTGGAATCATATGTTGGCGCACCTACAATCATCTCAACTTATCATTTAACCTATCAAATCTGACTATTATCATCCATTGTTTGTGCTTAGGCTTTGTGGTATCAAAGGACTCTCATGCAATTGAAATCTTTGTCTTTCTAGCCGTTCTGCCGTTTCACCTCGAAGCCTGGAAGTTTGTCTTAGCTACCCTTTTCGGTAAAGCATAAGCAGATCAGACAGACCACAACAGCTGATAAGATAAGAAGAATTCAACCAATAAGCTCTCAGCATGGACCTTCCAGGTTTGATCTTGCTCCAATGACGTCGAAGAATCCGGAAGCTGCCAGAAGCTGATGGGTTGGGCTGGAGGCTTCCATGAGCTTGTATTCGATGTTACTTGAACTTGCTGGATCCTACCATCAAGATCTCGATGCTTTATGTCGGGGCGATATCCTCCGCCAGATGCTTCCATGGAGTGACTTGATCATTCCATGAGATCCACTCAATTCGTGAATAAATTCACCTCTTGATCCTTGGTCTTCCGGATCACTTTCTTTCTCCTCTGCATTAAAAGTACAGCAAGCAACTATACCCCACAACATCAAACGATACCCAATCTTCCCAGGTCAGAAAGCCTGACATCGCCCTTCTCTTACATACATACTACGTTAATAATTGGGCAACACTACTGAACTGTACGACTGAACATACACAAATAATTCTCTTGTTTCATCCACACTCTCACTACAACACAACACCGCAATCATGAATAGCCGCATGGACTTCACAGACCGTGCCCAAAAGGCCGTGGAGGATGCCATGGCCTTGGCTGAACAATACGGCCACTCTCAGCTTGCACCGGTTCATCTCGCTGTGTCTCTGCTCGACCCTCCCCCGGACCCTTCCAAGGATCAACAGAACGGTCCTCCTCCCACAAGCACACTCTTCCGACAAGTCGTTGAGCGAGCACATGGCGACCCTCAACTCTTCGATCGAGCCCTCAAGAAAACCCTCGTCCGACTCCCAAGTCAAGACCCCCCGCCTGAGCATGTCTCTTTGGCACCTCAGTTCCACAATGTGCTAAGAAAGGCCATGGAACTGCAGAAGGTGCAGAAGGATACATACATTGGCGTGGACCACCTCATCACTGCCCTGTCTGAGGATTCAACCATCCAAGGACCTCTCAAGGAAGCCAACATCCCCAAGCCCAAACTGGTACAAGAAGCAGTACAGGCTATTCGGGGTACAAAGCGAGTCGACAGCAAGACGGCTGATACTGAAGAGGAGAATGAGAACCTGGCAAAGTTCACCATTGACATGACTGAGATGGCCCGCGAGAAGAAGATCGACCCCGTCATTGGTCGAGAGGAGGAGATTCGCAGAGTTGTCAGAATTCTCTCTCGACGAACCAAGAACAACCCTGTCCTCATCGGTGAGCCCGGTGTAGGAAAGACCACAGTCATTGAAGGACTGGCACAGCGAATTGTCAACCGTGACGTTCCTGACAACTTGAAGTCATGCAAGCTCCTTTCACTTGACGTGGGTGCACTTGTCGCTGGCAGCAAGTATCGTGGAGAGTTTGAAGAAAGAATGAAAGGTGTTTTGAAGGAGATCACCGAGTCAAAGGATGTCATCATTCTTTTTGTCGATGAAATCCACCTTCTCATGGGCGCTGGTTCGTCCGGTGAGGGAGGCATGGATGCTGCCAACCTTCTCAAACCCATGCTTGCCCGTGGCCAGTTACACTGTATCGGTGCGACTACCCTTGCTGAATACCGCAAGTACGTTGAGAAGGATGCTGCCTTCGAACGTCGATTCCAGCAGGTTATTGTCAAGGAACCCAGCATCCCCGAGACGATATCTATCCTTCGAGGTCTCAAGGAGCGATATGACCGTCACCACCGAGTCACTATTCTCGACAGCGCTCTCGTAGCTGCCGCTAATCTGGCTGCCCGCTATCTTACATCCCGACGACTGCCTGACTCGGCCATCGATCTTGTCGATGAGGCTGCTGCTGCAGTTCGTGTTGCTCGAGAGTCTCAGCCCGAAATTATCGACTCTCTCGAGCGCAAGCTTAGGCAGCTTATGATCGAGATTGCGGCTCTGGAGAAGGAAAAGGACGAAGCATCCCAGACTCGTCTTGCTCAAGCTAAGAAGGATGCTAAGAACGTGGAAGAGGAGTTACAGCCTCTCCGTGAGAAGTATCAGAGCGAGATCAAGCGCAGTGAGGAAATCCACCAAGCCAAGCTCAAGCTCGATGATCTCGAGAAGCGCCTCGAGGATGCCATGAATAATTCTGAGCATGCTAAGGCCGCCGATCTCAAGTATGGTGCCATCCCCGAACAAGAGGCTGTCATCAAGGAGCTTGAGGCTCGCAAAGCTGCTGCCGACGCCGCTCTTAACGCTACTGCCCCTACAGACTCTGGTGGCGCAATGGTCACCGACATCGTCACCGCAGATAACATCAACGAGATTGTCTCTCGATGGACTGGTATTCCGGTCACTCGCCTGCGTACCTCCGAGAAGGAGAAGCTCATCCACATGGAAAAGGTGCTCAGCAAGGTCGTTGTTGGCCAGAAGGAAGCTGTTCAATCTGTCGCCAACGCCATTCGACTCCAGCGTTCTGGCCTTAGTAATCCCAATCAGCCGCCGAGCTTCCTTTTCTGTGGTCCATCGGGTACCGGAAAGACCCTTTTGACCAAGGCCCTGGCCGAATTCCTGTTCGACGACGCCAAGGCAATGATCCGCTTTGATATGTCTGAATACCAGGAGAGACATGCACTGAGCCGCATGATTGGTGCACCTCCTGGATATGTTGGACATGATGCTGGTGGTCAGCTCACTGAGGCTCTTCGCCGCAAGCCATTCTCAATCTTGCTCTTTGACGAGGTTGAGAAGGCTGCCAAGGAAGTTCTAACTGTCCTTCTCCAGCTCATGGACGATGGCCGTATCACTGACGGCCAAGGCAGAGTCGTTGACGCCAAGAACTGCATCGTGGTTATGACCTCTAACCTGGGTGCAGAATATCTTGTTCGACCTGGCGTGAAGGAGGGTCGTGTCGACCCTGGTACTCGCGAGTTGGTCATGACCGCCTTACGCAATTACTTCTTGCCTGAGTTCCTCAACCGTATCAACTCGGTTGTCATCTTCAATCGTCTCACACGCAAGGAGATTCGCAAGATTGTCGATATTCGGCTTGCGGAGATCCAGAAACGACTCGAAGACAATGGCAGAAAGGTCCATATCGACGTGTCGGAGGAAGCCAAGGATTACCTTGGAAACAGCGGGTACTCACCGGCTTACGGTGCTCGACCTCTCTCTCGTCTTATCGAGAAGGAGGTCCTGAATCGTCTCGCTATTCTCATCCTGCGGAACAATATCCGCGATGGCGAATATGCGCGTGTTGAGCTCATTGATGGCAAGATTGTTGTACTTTCCAACCATCCCGACAGTGAACTTGGAGAGGATGAAGATATGGTTGATGAAGATGATGCAGTCGATGAGATGTTGGATGACATGGATCAGGACATCTACGACTAAGCGCTTTCATGTAAAAACTGGTGGTTGAAGGAGCACTGATGGGCGGTAATATTGTTTTATGGACGAATTTGATGATTGCATGACGGAGTTAAGGGTTTGTGGTGTTTGTACTGAAGCTCAATGAATTTAGCTCCTGGATTATGAATCAATGTGAACAAAAATTCAAATTATCTTTGTTATCTTGTGACATGCTTTGAATTAATCTATACGATGTTGTCCAGAATGGGAACGCGGACAACTCCCACCTGATCTCCGTTTCGGGTTGTCCGTGTAAACACTGCGGTAAGTAGAATATCTCTATATATAGAGAGACCTGGTCTGGAAGTCGTCATTCAAACTAAAACCTTTCTTCGCTATCATGCTGGCCCAAGAAACACGGGACCCTCTCCAATCCAGCCGAAATCATCAATGATCATGGACCAGTCAATTCCCTGGAGGGGATCGATGGTACTGTCCATAGTCTGTTCTTGGCCATTGATGTCTGTGTTAGCATTGGCATTGCCCTCGTTATCACCGTTGTTGTTCCCCGGGAACCTTTGTTCTACATGCCACATGTGAGCAATCCCAATTCATCGAACTAAGAGTATATGTAGACTTACGAAAGGCGTCAATGCCTTTTTGTGTACCATCTGTGATATTCTTGGCCTCCTGTAACGCATTCTTGAAGGCTGTGAGACACCAATACGATGTGGCAGCACCTATACGATCCGGCCATGCACCAACGGGAATGTCCCACTTAGGGAGCAAATGTCTTACAGACCAGAAAGTCTCGAGAATAATGGAACCTCGGGTGGGGAGGTCATTATCACGGACTGAGCAGGTTTTCAAAAGGGATAGAACCTGCGCAGCGACAACTTCAGCGTCTGAGGATGAGAGATGTTGCGGAGCAGCAGTGGAGTGTAGCGTGGATAGGAGGATGCAGCTGGCATCGACTAAAGCACGATAGACCCAGTGGGGGCTATGTGTAAGTAGTTGGCACGTTGACTCGAGCGTGAGGGCTGTGTTGATGAGATTCTGTGAGGTATTGTATGTGCGGAGAGTATTGAGGGTGAAATTGGGACGCTGGTCAGGGGGTGAGATATAGTAGTAAGCCTGGACTTCGAGTTGAGCAACGAGCAGTATGAAGCGAGAGAAGTCTGGATGCAAGTTTTTAGTAATCACATTAGATGCTAGGTGAGGGTGTTACCGGGAGCCTACCTGTTTCAACACGGGTGACGAGGGGCCTTAGAAGCTCAAACTCATCTTCCCACATCTTGACGATGGTTTCAGGAACCCCATTGTTTGCCGATATCTGGGCAGACATGGCTGTATGTAACCTATTTGAAAACTTTTGTAGCTCAAAAAAGGTGAGTAACTCCGGCGCAAGACTATCTTTGATGGTGTCCTTGCACTTGGTGTCATTATGCTGGAGAAAAGGAGGCGGATGCCCGTTGCCTGTAGATACTCTGCACATTATCAGTAATCTAGGCTACACTGCCATTTCAAGACCAGACAAACCTTTGGGCGAGAATACTACAGAACACCCACGTTATAGATGCCTCGTAGTCTGTGCATGTCATGTGCTGGCGTCCGCCAATCAAGAAGCTAGGATGAGATCCTCGGCCAGTGTGTAGACCGAGAAGCATGCAAGCGTTGAGGGCACTGCTTATGAAATTAGGCGATGGATCAGTGACGAACCTAATGGTAGGGAACGGCCAAGTGCAGATTATCAATAGAGTCTGAATAGACTCGAGGTCTAATGTAATGGCCTGAAGCAGGCCCCAAACGTCGCGGTTAAGAGAGTCGAGCAGCAAGGTTACAAGTTGTTCATCTTTGGCATATCGACGACAAGCTGTCGATATCACTGTCCAGAAGAGAGTTGTTGATGCTTCGAAGCATTCATCTGGGTCTTTCTTCCTCAAGATGGGTAGATAGGGATGATAGCATTGCAGATATCTGGACCTGTCAGCCGTCCTGCTGCTAGCATCAGTCCGGGAGAGTCTTACTTCTCGAAGTACCAATCAATATCCTGTCCTGACACCAACTTACCACCTAGCATGCGGGATTTCGTAGGCTCTGTCTTTTCGAGCAGCGTTGCTGATGGCACCAACGACTGGGGTTGTTGAGGGCTTTGCAGGTTGCTTGATAATGAAAAGACGGCACCATTTGTGGCCGGAGGCAATTGGGATGGTTGTGTAGGAAACACAGTTCCGTTTCTTTGAGAGACTGATGGCGATTCTGCGTTATTCTTGGGCTGTACAACTTCTTTGATGGATCTGAGCTCTTGTTCCAGAAGCTCGAGTTTACTACACATTGTCAATATCACTCACTTATTCAGAAGAAAATACAAGAGTCATTTCGTAGTAATGCTGTCAGACTATTACCTTCTCCTTGTCACTCTCTTATGCGATCTATCGTATACGCACGGAATTTGTAACTTGGCGCATCGTTGACATGGCTGTCCCGTGACAGGACTCGCTCGACACCGCACCTAGCCCAGATTCAGCATTAACCATACGCAACTCAGCTCAGTCGAGACAACTCACCTTTGAGTCACGACAACTGATACAGGCTACGTTTCGTCTAATTTTGTTTTGCGGTGAGTCTGGCGCTCGCGTGAGGCCCGGGCCCGAAGTCGACGCGGGTGACTCGTCTGATGATGGTGTTGGAGCCATCAATTTGCATTACTATAACACAGAGCGGACGATACGGTAGCTCGTAACCTTGATTGAATTATATCATTAAATTAGGTTCACAGTAATGAAATTTTATGAGTTGTTGATGAGTCACTTGAGATAGAGATGTAGATAGTTGAAGAGGTCTATCAATTAGTCCAGTGGTCGAGTTGCGTTCTACTATCTTGAGTGTCTGACGTCACGTGTGCAGCGTTTAGTCGGCGTTGGTACTATAGTTAAGCGAAAATTCGATAGGATAGTAAGTAGACGAGGGAAATCCTAGTCCTCTTGATTTAATTAGTGTTGAATTCTATCTACATCTCTCTTTCCATATATTACACCATTGCATCAGAGACCAAACAAATTAACATAAAACTTGACCTCAAGCTTTCTTGGTTTGTTTAGACCTCTTTGGGGCGGTCTTCTTGAGCACTGGTTTTTCTGACCTTAGCATAACACCGACCAGCTTCCACATTACCCAGGCGAAACCTAGCGAAACTGCGATTGCCGTGCCTGTCCTGATTGTATCTATGCCCTCAAGCTTAAGGACAGGGACATTGACACGGTGCATAAGTCTGCTCCCGCCCTCTGGTTGGGGGGTCACATGCCAGAAGGCAGTGTCTCGAGGGAAAAGATTGTCATAGCCAATATGGAGACGATCAAATGGGTTCTCCAGCGTCTCCTCCCCTGAGGAGCATGCCCAGAAGACAGCAGGATAGGGAATATCGGCCTCGGCTTGGTCAGTCACTGAAGGCTTAAGGTATCGCAGGTGGAGAGGGATTTCAACATTCCACGGCTGGCTTTCTCCAGAGGGAGGTGGCGCGAGCTCAAGCAGAATACTGGACCCCCATGTCTCAGTGGTATATGCTGGTGCTTCCAAGTCCACGGGTAGAGTTGTGTATCGCAAAGCTGTCAAGTTCTTGGAGGCCAGGAACAGATCGTCTCCTAGTTGATAACGATCCGCAAATATGACCTTGGGTAATGTCAAGAATGCGTATGGCGTACACTCGCCCTCAGCGCTTGGAGGCTTGTTAGAGCTGAAGCTGAGCTGAAGGGTTGGGTGAAGGCCTGTGGGGGTGAGGAATCTAGATGTAAATACAGATTCATCTCGACGGTGTCGGGCTGGGAAAGTGAAGATGGTTGGCGAGGGCTTTTTCTTGTCACCAAGTACGGATAGAACGCCAGCAACACCAAGCTCGTTCTCCTTCATGTTTGGTTGCGAGCGGTCGTTGACGAAAATGCCGACTTCAACCCTTCTTTCGGTTGATGCAGGAACAGCAACGGTTTGTGGTCGAAGAGGCCATAGCGCGGAAGCGACAAGAGCCTTTGTAGACTTATCAAATGATAAGTCCAAGCTGGTCGCGGTCAACAAGCTTCGTAGCCGGGCATTACAAACAGTGTCCAGTTCAGGACAGAACTCCTGAGAGCTGATAGTAATGAAGGAGTGTAGATCTTCCAGTGTTTGATGAAATGAGAAGTTCGGGGCTGTGGAGGTAGCTGGTTGCTTAAACTCAGTGAAAGCCTGTTACTGGTGAGCATCTTGTTGGTCAGTTGGCTTATGGAACTCACCTCTGGCTTTGAACAGGCTAGTGGCCCAAACCTCTGGAGCCAGCCGCAAAGTTTTGTTCTATAATGTTGGATTAGTGTTTCAAGTGGCCGCAACTCGAGATCACGACGTACGGGTTACATGAGTTTGGGGATTCCGGAGTCACGTAGACATGAAGCCCGGGCGAAATTCGTGAAGTGAAAGGGTCGAGTGTCTCAGATTTGACAGGGCTAGCCCATCTGATATGAAGAGCCTCATACTCTTGGAGTATGTCGGTGAGCTCACTAGGCAACTCGTCCAAGGGGATAGTGAGTTTATCCTGACGGACTGACTCGATTTGAGGCCCAAGCAATCCAGCTTCTTGGTTGTCCAGCTGCTCAGGATCAAGGGTATAGTCGTTGTGGATAAACGTGACACGCTCACGCATGATGGCGGTAGTTGATGCTTGCTCCTGGTAGTGGCGCGTGTTGCTTAGGAGGTAGGTATACAAGCTGTCTCTGAGCTTTAGGTAGTATGGAAGCGAGCGACCTAAGAGCTTTCAGGGAAGCTTGTCGCGTGTGGATAAGCTCTGGAGTAGGCTTAGATCACGTTCGTAGTATACTGTAAGCTATGAGTTAGCCAATAGGGGAAAAAAGATTTTTATGTTTCTGCCTTGTTTGAATCGCTTCGGAGTTGAGCTCGGTGTGTGAATTGGTTGGCAAATGCTTCCTCGAAAAGGTGACGTTAGTTTTAGTGACCGAAGCTTGAAGGCCAAAGCTCCTGAAAGAAGCAATAAAGTACACAATACACGTGGATTGTATAGGCATCAGGCACTGGCTGGTGTCACTGGATACCCGAACCCCGGCCCCTCGTACTCTTCCTCTTTGGTTACCGCCAGTAACTCGGCACTAAACTTGTTTGGGGACCGACACTCGATCCATTTCAAACTTGAGGAAGGGACGGGTGAGCCTGCCACACGCCGCCTCGGTCGCGAGTTGAAGAAAGTCGCTCCAACGATCATCCCTCTCCGTTTCCATAATCTCCCTCCTGCCGCCGAGATGGCAATACCACAACAGAACCAAGAATTTCCCCTTCTTACATACTCATTGCTGCCTCCGTGAAACGACGCTCGACTGTAGATACATACTTACATACATACATGCTACCAACGATACATGCGCTGTACGATACGATCATGCCTTTTTCCAAGTGAGCCGACAAACGCTGTAGCTTTAGAGCACGATACCCACCCACATCGAGAGCGAGACAATAGAAGAACCACATCTGAACCGCCCAATTCTCGATTCTAGCGACCAAGGTCGTGGATACGACCAGCCGCTAGCAGCCAAGTTGCAATTGAGTCCTCTGGCTGGTTCGTGAAACAGCCCGTACATTCACAAGTTGCGCATTCATCGCCATGGCCGATCATCAACCATACGTCACGATACGCTCGCGGAGACCTGTCGAAGGTCCAGGTTCGAGAAGCACCGGCCCTCCTATGGTATGTCTGATCCTCTACTTCGTTCACAAATAAGACAGCGGCTTACACAAATGCCACTTCCTAGGCCGCATCTAGTGGGGGCGATTATTATGCCAGGTCTGCGACTCATGACACAAGCCGTACTAGTTTTCATGTCAAACACATCGGCCAATTCGCACAAAGACTTGAAGATGTTAGTCTCTATGATCCGTCACAATGACAGTCTCTAAACTCCTCTCCAGTCCGCCGCCCGCGCTTTCCCTAATCGTGGACGCTCTTCAGCCAGATACAGCAAAGTACAAGCATTGCTATTACACTGGAACTCGGATGATCTCTTCGTTATCCCTGAATTGGAAGATCTTGAAAAGTGTTTGAGTGAGGACTATGGCTTTAACACTGACATATTTGCCATCCCTTCAGAGAACTCTCATCTAGAGTTGATGATGCGCATAGGGCAACTGATCAAAGATCATGAGTCCCAGGATACATTGTTCGTGGTCTACTACGGTGGCCATGCCAGAATCGACGAGTCTCGGCAAAGCACCTGGTGTGCGTAAGTAGTTCTAGTCGCCATGTCATAGAGATTGTCTAACTTTTGTCAGTACCCGTGAGGCGAATTCGCCATGGCTTCAGTAAGATCCTCCTCAACACGTATACAACTACACGTCTAACGAGAAAAGGTGGTCTGCGATTCAGACTCTACTCGAACGCTCACTATCAGATGTTCTCATTCTCTTAGATTGCTGCGCTGGAGCTGCAAGTGCAACTTTTCCCAGTGGAGCCAGTATCACCGAGACTATCTCAGCTTCGAGCTGGGACGCCATTGCCCCTGATCCCGGACGATACTCTTTTACCAATGCCCTCATAGAAGTGCTTCAGGAGTGGCGAGTCCGAGCCTTCTCCGCCGCTATGCTCCACGCCGAGGTTCTTGCTCGATTAAAACATCCTCGACCAATCACCATCAATGGCAAATACTTTGAGGCTCGATCGACCCCTGTGCATTTCATGATGACTTCCAACCACAAAGCGCCAAGCATCGAAATGTCTCGGATGTCCCGCGGCGATAACTTGCCATCTCCTGAATTACTACCGACACCAGCTGTGGCCCATGAGACTGGCCGAGCGGCTGATTCAACCACGCCTGTCTCACGGAATGACTACATGTTTACTGAACCCAACGAAGATACTCCTCATGTCATGATTTCTTTGGCGTTGGAGGATGACCAGCGGCTTGATATCAACGCATGGGAGCAATGGCTCGGCGCCTTCCCTGCTATGGCCAAATATGTCAAGGTTCAGGGCGTTTTCAAGAGTCATTCTACAATGCTCCTTGTCTCCATGCCGGTCTCTATCTGGGACTTGCTGCCAGAAGACCATGCAACATCGTTCGTTGCTTTTATCCGATCGAATAACTTGATGACTCAGAAGCCGCGAAACCAATCGGTGCCGACCTTGGTTCCCGCAAACCGCTATCCCGCCGAAAATGACAGCGCATCGTTCATTTCAGGTGTTTCGGGTACAACCTTTGTACCTACAGAACTTACGGGGTTGACTGGCCAGATGGGAGCTTTCCGGGATCCTGCGTACGGCAGGCAAACAGGGCCTGTGGTCCGGAGTACTCTCCCGCCTATTCAGCAGCTCTCGCCCTTGCATATGCCACCACTACCTGTATCATCACCTCAGAGCTTATCGCAGCGATCCATGAGACCGATGCATTCCACAACATCTGTTGCCACACTACAGAGGCAACAGTCGTCGTCCTCTTTGGGGGGCAGTGGAAACCTGACGAGACAGATGATTATGAACCAACAGCAAGCTCTGCGACGTACCACTTTTGGTTCTGATGTTCCAGAACCTAAGAAGTTCTCTCCTCATGTGGAGAAACGTCTAGAAGAATATTACCAGACTGAGCCATTGCCCAATGATGGGCAGAAAGCGTTTTTCGCTTCAAACTTGGGAGTAGAACCGTGGCATGTTGAAGTCTGGTTCCACCATCGGAGAGAGAGGGATGCCTTTTCCCAACGATTCGCAGCCCTGAGAGTCGAAGATTCAAAAGCCGGTGCTCACGAAGGGCCACGCATGATCTTGCCAGCGAATCTAAGTGAACTTTTGGACATATCTTTACCAGGTCAAAGTCTTTTACTCGATCTTCGGTCATCAACAGAATTCCAGAGGTCGCACATCAGGGGCGCAATCCATTTGCGTGCCCCCCAATCCTTCTTACGCCCAGCTTCTCTAGATATGGTTGAGCGGGCCTTCCCCGACGCACAGAGTCGGAGGATATTCTCACACTGGCAGCAAGCGAGATGTATTATATTCTACTCACGTGGGCTTGAGTATCCCTGGGAATGCCCCTCAGCTGATACTTTGCTGGAAAAGCTCTGGGCATGTGGCTGGCACGGACGATGCTTCATTCTGAAAGGACACTATCGAGAGTTCAGTGACTCATTCGGCAAACACGTCTACCGCGCTCAAGACAACGATGCCGAGAAAGAGGCTCCCAATGAGGCACCTATCAGTGAAGGTATGCCAAGCAATGAGACGGAACTTGCTGCTCTTTTCGCACGATTGGAAACAGAGGACCAGACACGTCATCTGAGTTCATCTCCTGGACATAATGAAGAGCGAACCACAGCACTAGTAGAGCAAGAAAAGGCCCTTGAGAGTGAGTTCCAAAATCATTTCCCTGCACTCTTCAAGAAAGCACAAGACGTTCACGGTGTTGTGCGATCTGATGACGAAAGCTTTGTCACCAAGGCGCAAATGGTAGAGTACCTGGATCGCGGCTTGACCAAAATTCGAGATGGCCAGGCTTCCCAGGCAGAAGCCACTGTTTATGAGCCAGGTCATTTGAAACTGGCAGCTGACAGTTACTTCGACCGGACAAATGTCAATCGAGAGTCGGACGAGTATGTCGAAGTTCCTCGTGGAGACGAAGCAGCGTCAGATGGGAGTACCCAGATGACAAGCAAGGGCAAAGAAATAAGGGCAGTGTCATCCCCGGACGAGATAGCTCGAAGAGGGCGAGGAAGCGGACTTTTGAATAAGGTGTTCCGAAGGACATAGTGAAGGGCATACGGGTTATGATTTACGTTGTTATGCATAGATCGATCTCCAATTAGATCTGGGGGTTTGTTTCAGAGGGATAATAGAGCGATAAAGGTGGTATTCCGTATCTAGTCCTCGTGATAACGAGACATAAATCCGACGGCTCTCAGCTGTCTTTTTATTCTGCTTCTTAAGCTAACTAGAGCTGGATGAAATCATCGGGGACATTTATGTTTGTTTACCTCGTGACTTTCACCAGCAAATGGTCGTCATTCTATTCGTTGTCTGAATATCGGTAGACAAAATCAAAGGACCATTCTTACATACCTACTTATCAAGCTCATCTAATCGTCCTTTTATGATGACCACCGGAATTTCGCTGTTCCTCTTAGTCTCCTCTATTTCGGCATTCATATTTCAAAAAGACCACCCTGCTTCACTGAGTGTGCCCACGCAGTATAGGGTATGGTCGAGGCGCGGGAAATGAGTTGAGTAGATAAATAAATGTATGGATAACAGTTGTCGTGAGGTTGTACGATTCTATAACAACTTACAGCGACTCCAAGCCGAATACGGCAGTTATTCTTTGTGTGAACAATTCACCTGTGATACTCATAGGTACCTTCTTGAATTCAGTTATACTACAACCGGGCAGATGCCACTCGGGAAGATGCTTCAACATCTCCACGGCATGTCACTGAGGTTCATAGTAGCAAATTACTTAAGTTGATATTCAGTGGTGATAGTCGAGCCAAGTTACCTTGGCCTTCCTTAGTGTTCTACGCCTCCTGATCGATGGGATCACAACAGCATAGATACCGCAGCCGATGCCGTGGTGTACAGCAGGACGACCTCGTTTTCACGCGGCCAACCGACGAAGCCAAACCGTCACAGGCAATTGTTGCATGGGCGCGTGGAAC